CGAAGAGTATTTAGTTATAATTTTGGCTGTAGAAAGAAAGCTTTGAGCGATTTTCTTGCCTCGAGTTCATCTTTGAAAACAGTAAACACCAGGAAGCCGCCTAAAAGCTTTACGCTTAAGCTTAAAGACTCAGGATTTTTAGAGACGCTTTAATACTTGTCTTCGTGAATGAAAATTGTTGTCTCTGTAAATGTTTCACCGAATTACATTTCTTTTATTGATTTTAGTAGTCTCTTACAATTTTAATCGCTTTGCCGTTTGTTTTTAGTCGTTCATAAACAACGCTTGCAGGAGTACTCAAAATGCTGCTTGTATCAAACGCTTTTTAAGATTACACATCGTTATAAAACCATTTAATAAAAAAATAAACACAATAAATTCTTTATTATGTTGAAGCGTAACTCTTTTAATGTTCACTGAAAATTTGGCGCTTGTCAAAAGTGAGAACCGGCTGGCCGTATAGGTGATTTTGGAAATTTTTTGAACGGTTTTGCTAAAAGCCCACGCGTGCTTTGTACGGTTCTGAATATTGAATGAGTGCAATTTGTCTTGAAAAATTGTGAAATACTGCATTTTGTCTGAGGTCTATATGATAAAAACAACGCCTCATACTACTGTTTCAGATGTGATGTATAAAAAGTATGAAATGTTGGTTTACACGCTCCCAGAGTTGTTGGCAAGATTTTGCTAAGGAAACTTGTCGAACGCAAAAAATTCGGCCTGATTTGTTTTCCAAAAATTCGTTTTCCAGGCCTAATCTACTGTGATCAAGAGCCATTATGGCTCTAAAATGTGATCGAAGATAATTGCTATTTTTTGGGTGTATATATACGGCTATCAATTCGATGTAAGATTTTTTTGTCACTCTAAAATCTCTTAGCCTTAGCTTTCCCTTAAAGTTAACTGATTTGTAGATTACAAGTTTATTGTTTGATTTAAATTATAAATTTATTAATGAGAGCTTCGCTTTTAGCCCTGGCTAAATCTATATATTACCGTATTTACCCGTGTATAATGCGCACCCGTATATAATGCGCACCCTATTTTTCAAGACACTTTCTAGAAAAAAATTGTAATTCCTATTGTCATTAAAGCCACAAACCGAAACATTTTCAGCGCAAAATACAAAATATTCTTCAGTATAACAGTTTATTACAAGTACCCGTAAACTTTAAGTTTACAGAAGAAAAGCTCGACTTTTTTTCTTACGTTTTTTCTCACGTTGAAGTCTCGGCATTTTCTGAAGATTTTCTTTGGACTTGCGCCACAAACGAACGTTACTTTCGGAAACAAAAGGTTCCGTGTATAATGCGCAGCGTAATTTTTCAGCCTCAAATGTCGTAAAAAAAGTGCGCATTGTACACGGGTAAATACGGTATGTAGTAATTATGCGAACATTTTACGTACAGCAGGAAAGTAGAAATCTGCTTCAATGCTGTTTTGGCTTGTTATGTTAGTTCAGCACGAACTGTATCGCCCATCAAATTATATTTTTTAAGAGCCACATTATTGCTATTGTTTTTTTTTTTCAATAATTTACCGTCCTGTTATTTCATTTGTAATCTTAAAGCGTAAGGTGCGAGCGTTTGGGCTAGGAAGAACTTTTTACATCAGGCGCCTTTTTCGCGACCATTCTTCCAATGTTCGAGTAACTTCTAAAACTAAAGGCTTTCTTGCTTAAGTTCTTCGGCGGCCTAACAACTCTTTTCGTGCTACCATGCCATATTGCACGACTTTAACACGCTACGAATCGTGTCATTTAACACGCTGCTGAAAATAAAAGATTGAGCGTGTTAAAATGTGCAAAACAAAAGCTACCGTGACACTCTTTGTTTCCTTATTAAATATGCGCATACACGTGTCAGATGTCACGCTTAGCGTGCCGTGTCATCGCACGCGTGCCCGTGTTATCACCATTATGCTGGAAATCCTGTGGAGGGTCACATATTATGTATGGAACCTTAGTGCAGTCTAGTAAATATATCACGCTAAGTTACAGTGAACTTTGCCAAAGAAGAGGGATACATTGTAATCAAGCAACCAGTTACTGTTCATTGTTCTTTCTTGTACTTTGAACTAGTATCCACCATTACTTAGTACAAAAGCTTATTCAAATGTTGAATGTTGTGTGACAAAAGAACAGAGACAAGACTGTTGCTAGTACGTCAATAAGTGTGCTTTCATAGGGCATAATTCTCAGGTTTATTAACATCAGTTTATGCTACCATAAATTTGAACTTATCTTTATTTTTTACAAATTCGTTGAAATTTAATAAAACTTCGCTATCTTGCTGACGTGCTTTCCACGTTTTGGAAAGAAAAATTGTTTGAATGGCTTACCCAATGTGACTCTTTTTCATCGTAATGCAGCGTTTTTAAAGAAAATACAAGACAAGACTGATAAACGCTAATGGAAAAATTTGGAGGAGGTATCAAATATGAAGCAAATGTGAAGTAGATTTCAGGTTTACACCGTATTTGCACGCAATTTGAACGGGAATAAACATCAGTGTTTGCATCATAATTACTTCTAGTGATAATTTTGGTCAAATTCAGAGGGCTAAATTTGCATCATGTTTACTTCTGTTACAAACCTGTTTAAAACCGTTTTTTCGTGCAGTGTAACTTGAAATGTAGTAGAACCATGCGGCATTATGCCCTTGAGCTATACTACACCTAGAAATCGGAAAAGAACAAAAGAAGCTTTAACAATAACCTTTTCATTTTCAGGGTGCTTTTATCAGTTTCCATCTTGAGAGTAATGGTAACTGTCACTCAAGGATTTCAATTTTAAAATAGTTAATAACATGGACCGAATGGTATTGATTTTGTAGGGCTGCTATTTTGAACCTGAAAATTCAAAAGAGCACCTTATATATCTGGTCCCTCAGTCACTCATCATTAGGACATTATAAACATAACCAATGTACATAAAAAGTGGAAAACATACTTACTATGTGATTTGGATGAAGAAAACCGCTCACTACATTAGCAACTGTTATTTACATCCACTAATTATCAGTTTGGTCTTGGTTGGTCCAGGTCTGGTTGGTCTTTGACACATACCAACAAGAGCAAGTTCATGATTTTTAGAACTTTTTATTTTAAATGAAATTATAGGGATTATGGGGCATTTACAAGCTATATAAGGGAATATAGGAAAAGTTTAAAAACACAGGAAATATATGGACTCCTGAAGCCCTGGAAACATCCCACACAACGGATTCTGGACCATACCAAATTGTCAAAAGCTTTTTGGCTAAATTCAAGCGTGAGATGCTCTAGTTTTGTTTCTAAATTTGAGGGGGATAAATCTTGACCTCAAAGTTCATATCACGATGGCTCATATAAAACTAAAAATACACGTGTCGCAGAACCTCGCCAAGCTAAAGGAAAACTGCCAACAGAAACCAATAAACCAAACAAAAAACAAGAATGCTAGCAAGATGTAGGAGCTTTGGCAGAGTTGGAATCTGCATCCCTGAAAACCTCACGCACACTAGGAAGGGAGCTTAACCACTACACCACTGTGAAATGATATGCTTTTTGCAGTGAACGTGAAAAGTATTTTATAAAGCGCATTTGGCCCTGGAAAGTAATTAATTACTTTGCGTTTGTCGTTCCTTTTTTCCTACAAAATGTAATGACAATAAAGGTCACTTAAACAAATGTCTGGATCTAAATTCTATTCAATGCTGTGCTTTTTTCTATAATGGATTCTATAAAATAAACTGTATTTTTTTCATGCGTGAAAATTAGCTGGCAACACGTCAATACCAATAAAAATATCTACTCATTTTTTCCCGCGATTGCGACAAATTTAAATTAATAACTAATTAACGCTTGTGTAACAAGTCTCACATACTTTGTAGTAACTATGACCCTGTCTGTAAAAGTGGTATTTCCCAACGTCTATCATCCATCATTTATTGTTAGAATCCATCGTCTGGGTTTTAGCACATGCAACTCCGAGTCAACTGAAGAGGAATGCTGTGGTTCAGTTGAAAACGTGAGTGAAACCCTTCTATTCACTCCCTGAATACATTGGGTGTTAGGGCCAAAAAGATCAAGTAGGCAAAAACAGAAATTGATTCAAAAAAACTAAATTTGTTGGAAAGAAAGAAAAGCGTGTTGATAGCGGCCACAATGAGAAGGAAGCTTTATCATGTCCCATCACTCGTTCTGTGACTGCTAGCCAGCCAAAAAGCGTCACTATAATAGCGTAAACGTCAATTTTAAAACTACAGAACTGTGAGAAATGTGATTGGGGGCTGCTGGATTTTTTACATGCTGCAGACGAAATTCAGCAAGATCCCGTTTACCTGCATGGCCTGTGCAAGAAGTGTGGCCCCACAATGTAATCAACCTGCAAGGGGAAAATAACAACAACAACGTGGGAGCGCGGCCAAGAAGTCAAAAGAATATACTGGCGCAGAGAGCTGCCTTAGGACGTCTTCATCAAGGGTTAGAGCATGGTCAGTATGAGGGCCTGATGTAATGAATATAAAAAAAGTCTCGGAAAACACTATGAAACAAGCTGAAGGAGAAGTGGGAATTTTAATTGAAGAACCAGCAAAAGAAAGCTGTGAAAATGGAGGAGAGAAGAAAACCATAGAGGAGAAGATGCAGGGTGGCAGAAGCAAGGGCGCACTCATAACTCAAGGACAGGTCATGGCACCATGGTGGAATTGCAAACGGGGAAATGCCTCGATTACTGGACCAAAAATACATACTGCAAGAAATGGCTTAGAGCGGAAGAAAGAGAAGTTCAGCGTGAACTGCATGACTGTTAGCTGGACCACATCAGTTCTGCTAAAGCAATGGAAGCATCAATTGCAGTTGATCTATGTCCTAAAGAAAAGTATCAAGTTTTAACAGGTGATGACGACTAAACAGTTATTGCAAGAGTGCGTGAGGAGGTTGGCAGTAATTTAGAGAAGTGGTCGGATGTAAATCATCTAACTTGTACTTTGACAAAAGGATTGTATGAGGGAAAGGGAATGGACTTCAATCCAGACAATGACAGAATAAATGACAGCATCATTGATCACATAAAAACGTGTTTTTCTTGTGCTCTTCACCACTACAAAAACAATGTTGCTGGCATTATTGAGGGAATTGGGGCTATTGTGCCATACAGCTTTAGGGATCACACTAAGTATAGACACTGGTGTAAACATAGCAAAGACCAAAAAGGTGAAAAAGTTGTGCAGTGGAAAATTAAGGAAATTTCTCAACAGCTTGTTGTAGCCTTTTATGCTGGATGACGTCGCAACGAAACTGGCCCCCCTTGGATTGACATCAATAGCATTGTGGGAACAAAGAACTCAAAGAAACGATTTTACAGAGGACCAGAGAGTGGTGACTACCGTGTGTCAGCAGCAGTTGCCCAGTTCAATGAAGGACATGAATATATGAAGGCTGTGGAACATAAAATTTACTTTGTCGAAAGAGAAACACTGAATGTTACACTACCGAAAGGCAACAGAAAATGAAGCAATCTGCAGACAGAAAACAAGAAGTGAGCACTAAAAAGGGGAGGAGAGAACTGAACAGAAAAAGAAAACACAATCAAATGAACCGAGCAAGAAGGGAGGGATCAACCTACTGTTCAGGTAAAAGTTCTTCTTGTATTATTTATTAAGTTAATTAACTATAAAGGAAATAAAGGGAGATGTAAAGAATCAACCATAAGAGGACACAGAAAAAATCTGAGCCCAAGATTTTATATCTCCCTTCATTTCCTTTATAATATTAATATCAGTGGCATAGGTTAATTAATCAATTAATTAATTAATTGATTTTTTAATTTACATACTATGTTCTGCTTCTCTGCTCTTTCACAATTAAAAATGTAAAGTAAAACCAGTCTTAAAATTTATCATAGGTATTGGCTTTGGAGCAGTAACTCAAGAGGAATTGAAGTCTAGAAGCATCTTACAGACAAGTTACTCTACTTTCAAAACTGCACTAAAAAAATACCTTATCGAGTGAGCTGTAAATTAAACTCACCTGATCACGATATGGCAGCTTACATGAAATCATAATTAAGTATGAGGAGCCCAATTTCTACGAGCTATTTAGCTTCTATTCAGCTTCCTCACCACTCTACCAATTACAAATTTTATGTCACTTAATATCACATTTTATTTTGAACTATTTTTGTAGCTTTTCCTGCCCTGTGAATTTGCAATCTTGATAATAATATATATATATTTCCTTTACTTTCTGTAATATTTATTCTATAAGGCAAACGTAAATAAAGAAAAATAATAAAAATACCCAGCCCATTAAGAAACCTAGTAAACTGATGAACAGTCAGAGAAACCCTGATGACTATGTTGTGCAGATCTACGACCTGGAATCAACTGGATCTACAGGGAGAAAGGGAGTATTCCACTTATATTTTGCCAAAGAGGACTATCGATCCTGGTGCCTCAAAGACAACTGGCCTCTCTATTGGGTACTTTACAAGGAGTTAACTGTCTGTGCAAGGATGGAAAAGCTGTAGAGGCAGCTGACAGAGGGACGGCATTAAACGGCTTCAGTCAGTTCCTGAAGAGCCTGGGACCTCAGGCCACTCAAGGCGTGACCATCTAAATAAATATGCATATTTTGACAAAATGCTATTTAGAACGGTTTGCTTCTATCAATGATACTGAAAATTGAACTACAAATGTAGCTTAATGGCCTTAGCAATATGAGCGCATTTTAGAAGCTCAAATGTTTGCCACGTGACTAATGAGAATTAACGGTCAAAGTATTTACTCTAAAATGGGGAAAGGATAACGAAAGAGCAACAAGTTCTTTTAGGTACATTTCAGAGGCTATTAAAAAGGTTCTTATAAATTCGCCTTGTATGTGTGTTTACATTATATAGGAATTGGTAAATAGAGGGAAAAGGGTTACGTGACTTATGAATTAATTAAACAGCTAATAGAATAAATAACATTTCCAATCATACAAGGCGAATTTATGATTTACCCTGTTTATGTAACATTTTGGTGGTGAAAATTCCTAAGATTAAGGGGTGCAACCCTTCCCCATTTAGGAAAACGTGTTTTGCGACGTTATTGATGTTGCGATGTCACATATTATTTGAAACCACGTTTCACGTGTTTTTTTCGTTGAGACACATTTGTAGTTCACTTTTCAGGAGCACTGATTGAAGCAAACCATTCTAAATAGCATTTACTAAAATATGCATATTTAATTAGATAGTCATGTCTGAAGTGGCCTGAGGGGGTCATATGGTTAGTTCCCAGAGGAAATCTCCATCTCTTAACCTTTACTCAGATCCCATCAGTTGTTCTCAGGCAAGGTCTCTATTAGGGCTGAAAAGGTTAAGTACATCATGCATACGTTTCCAAAGGACATTTTGCTAAATTTAATTTTGTGAGACAAAAAGATCATGGCTGCCTTGTTTTAAGCCAGATTAGATTAGACATCTGGGACAAGTTTTCCAAAGGGTGTTCAGCAATAACTTGGGGTTGAATTGTT